ATGCCAAATTCCAATGTTTGATTGTTCTCCATGTGCAAAATCTGTACAGAACTGCTTCAGGAATTCTGTAAGCACATAAATAATTTTTTTTGCGAATAAAATATATTTTTGCAATAAAAACGTATTTAAAATGGTTAATGGAATCTTTAATTTTTCTTCATGGATCTTTACATCAAATAGAGCTTGTATGCATTTGTTTCTCATATACAATTTTAAAATGTGAACTGCATTTCTTCAGTCAGATTCTCTTCTCAATTTACAGAAATTTTAAAACAATCTTTCTTATCTTGATTTACCTTAGTTTATCAACTTAGATGAAACCCTACTAATTAGCTATCTACAGTATTGCTGTTGTCAACAGTGTCCCAAAAATTGGCTGTAGGGGAACAAGGTTCAGCAACAGTCAGAGCTTCAGGATTTGGTATTGTTAGTGGTATACACTTGCTTTATTTTGAAGCAACTGGAACTATAGATGTCGTCAGTTTAGGCCCTTGAATCTGGCAAAATTAGGAGGGATGAATACAGTGAGAACTAATGACCGAACCTGCCACATACTGTATCATAAGGTTGTTCAAGATCTAACTTTGTGCAAATATATAACACTGTTAATCCAGTAAGCGATTATATCCGTATTCCAATTTCAACTCTGAAATCTGTGAGGTAGCACTGACGAGACCCTAAAAAGCTCCAAAGTAAATTTTCCCCTTATTTAAATCTTCTGCTCTGATTGGAGCATTAGTGCCTTTAGCATTAGTGGGGAATACCCATCCTATCAGGAATCAATGACCTTGTATTAGTGGAGTTTTACAGCCTTTATACTGTGCGATGAAAGACATGACTTTCTCAAGTTGGAGGATTGCAGAGTTTTCAAGGGACTGTAGAGCTGGCAAAGATTGCAGAGTTGGGAATGGCGGAGAAATGAAGGGATTTACATATAGGGATAAGAATTCTGAATTTGAAAGGTTCAAAGCCAAAATAGGACAGCAAAAATAGATTGAGGTAATGGATAAGAGGGATTTGGTTTATTATAAAATACAGGCAACATATTTCAAAGCTTGGAGGTTGGAGGATTGGAGAATATTGGTATATTTGAGTCGAAAGATGATAAAGGTATAGATGAGGACTTCAGCAGCAGATGGATTGAGGCAGGGAATAAAGGATGATGTATTCTCAAGCTCTCAATCAAAATTACCGAGAACTTTTCATGATGGTGTTGACCCTTTCGTTTCAATCACCGCTGTGCACTCTCACCGCCATGTCTTGCGGCTTTCATTCAGCTAAGTATAATGAGCTGCAAAAGAATAACAAGCTACTTATCATTACCAACACACTTCATCTCTAGAAATTCATCAAAGTCAAAATGTACGTTTAATTCAGATCAACAAAATACACAAAACTATTACAATGTAAAAATATTATTATTTTCTTTACATAGCTAAAGAAATATTGTTGGTGAGATGAATTTTCATTATATTAATGCATAGCAAGATAAATCCTTTGATACTTATAAGTGCAGTCAATGGCTAATGTTCCAAATATTGAGTTTATTAGTTGATAGCACAAAAAAAATCTCATTTTTCGTATTAGGCAACAATTGCAACAAGTATATACTGACATTGCAACAGATAAACTGTGGTGATGATGACAAAATTATAGGGAAATTTCCAGTAGAGCTTAGCATGGCTGATGATATGCTGCAACAACCACACCAGAGCATCTGATATTTAATCCTGTATTAAGAATATCTTATTTAAATGTGCTAGGCAATAAAAGTGGCAGTGTGAAAAGTTCAACTATTGATGCTCAGTATGAAGTAGAAAAATAAATTGCATTTATGTTTACATTTAACATGGAAAATTTCCTCATGTCACTTTACCAAGATGCAATCACACAGAAATGAACATAAGAAAGCAAAAGAATTGTGAGGAGTAATAATGGCAAATTTGGTTAAAGTATAAAAGGGAGTTGGACAGGGAGCAGTTAGAGAAGTTAGAGTAACTGGAATGTATTGATGGGCTGCAAGAGATTTCAGTGTGGGAGGGCAAATTCCATGAAAGGATCTTACTGAGAGTATGAGAATATAACCTATCTGACACAACATGAGATTATATTTGGGAAGGGGTGAACAATTAATGGCAAAGACACTGAGAATATTGCAGAGGAGAATCACAATTTGCTGTAGTCTTTCTAATGTTTAATTGGAGGAAACTGCAGCTCTTCCAAGACTTCTTTTCTTTACCTCACAGAGGCAGGGAATGCCTTGAGAGAGGTGATGGAATGGTAGAACTGGATGAAGGCAATTTGGCTAATATCAAACTAAAATCAAGCAAGGAAGAAGATTAGTTCAGATAGATTAGGTTATTTGAGTGTTGTCATAGGGACAGAAACCTGACAGATTCAAAATAGATTTGTAGGGAAAATGGAGATGAATTTGGAAGATTATGATACATTCAAAATATTTGGCAAGGAAATAGAGGTTAAATATGGGGCTGTAGTTTATAAGTATAGAGGGTCTTTTATGGTTTTATTTTCAGGATGTGAATTTTGTTGGAAGTTTTGAAAATAAAAGGAATAACAGTTGATAAGTGAGAACCACTGACAACATCAGCCAACAGTGGGCCAGAAAGGAAATTTTGCTGGTCAGTTGTTCACAGAGAATTAGATTAAGGGAACAGAAAGTGAATTACATGAACAAGATGAAGTGTATGTGCAATGAGGGAAACTCAGGCTAAAACTGGATAAAGATGTGAATTCAAGGTTAAGTCAGGTATAAGAGCTTGGGGGAGGTTTGAGGTGGTCTAAACGGATGGTTTCAATTATTGATAAACAAGGTCATGTTGTTGGTGGTGACCATAGAAGGGGCAATGTAGAGGAATTTGATAAGATGTTTGGTAATAGAAAATAAACAGTGAGTTATCTTTGCTCTTTAGAGTGATCCTGAAGTTATGTATGGTTTGTGGAAAGGAATGCACAATCTAATAGTAAATTATTAAGAAAGCAACTGATGCAACATAATACTTACAAGTATCTCCTGTTCATTTTTAAATAGAAAAATCATAAACATATTTGTTAAATGTGATTCTGATTCTATATCAAATATAAGGTCTTAGTCAAGGAGCAAATATCACAAAAATACAAGCACCTGGGCTCAAAGTAGCACAGCTGAGTTCTAAGGTTAACTGGATCTACTAAACTGGCAGAGATTCTGCTGTTAAATGTAATAAATCTTCAGGATCACAGGTACTTAGAAAATGGGAATAGGAGTAGGTCATTTGGCCCTTCAAGCCTGCTCTGCCATTCAATGTGATCATGGTTGATCATTCAACTCAGTATGCTGTTTCTTTCTCTGAGGACAAAACTATACTTCATCATTTTGTGTCGGATTAGAAATGCAGACATATTTGTTCTGTTTGGTATTTTTAGTGACTGCGCTAACAAACTTACATCGACAATGTATATTCATGAATAATTTACAATATTAATACAAATTGGAAACTACTTCATGAAGATGTTACTTATAAATGCATCATTACTCACAACTTGAAAACAGCTGCATGAGTACTGTATTTGAGTTTGAAGAAGAGGAACAAAGAAGTTAAAAGAGTACCAGGAAGCATATATTAATATCTAGCTATGGATAATAATTATTTGTTTGTGAAAAGCTATGGGTAGGAAGAGTTTCCTTTTAGGAATTATTATTCAAACCCTATAGAAAATTTGGATTGAGATTCGAGCTGAGTGTAGTGAAAAAGGTATCAAAAACTGAGAGAAAGTTAAATTCATGGCTTAATTTATAAAACAGCATAAAGATTTTGAATTTGTTGTGTTGGGGTTCAGAACATCAATGGAGACTGACAAGGATTTGACAGATGTGTAAGCAGGTTTTAGTGCAGGATAGGAAACAGGCTGCAGAGCTTTGAATGAGATGGGCATTATATAGGTTGGCCAATGGAGCTGGTGCTACTGTTCATTGGAAATGTAATAAAAATGTTGGATAAGAGTTAAAAAGATATGGGCAGGGAGTCATGGCTGGGAAGGAGAGAATGCCTTAGGCATGACTAGGGGACAAGTACTCAACAATTCTCAACATCTCAACAATTCACCATTCCTGGCTTTTCCTGGCACAATACTTTGGAGACCACAGTCACCCCAATTCAGGGCCAGGTATTGTTGACTTGAGCATCTAAATGATTCGCACACTTAAAGCACTTGAGATTTCAGTTATTTGGATATAGAATTTTAGTTACATTTGGTACATTTTCATAATAATCACATAGGTTACACTTACACAAGTTAGAGCACAGAAACAAGCCATTCGGCCCAGTTAATCTAGCTGATATTTATTCTCCATCCATCCTACACCACTGAGCTGTATCACCATATCCTTGTAAATATTTTGTCATCAACCTGCTCAGTATTGTTATTACACACTTGTGGAGTAGGTAGAACTTGAATATGGACCTCCTGTCACAGAGGTAGGGACAATACTAATACACCGCAAGACCCCGTCAGCATATTTCTTTAACTATTTTTCCTAATCAACCTGTTTGGGGATATTCTTTTGCACCCCTGGAGCAGGTGGGACTTGCTGGCTCCCCAGTCCAGAGGTAGGGACTTTAACAATGCACCACAAGAACCCCCTTAGCATATTATTGTACTCGCTTCTCCCTCATTTTTTTATCCAGTGACTCAGTGACTCAAATGTAGTGGCAAGTGCTACATCCTAACCACCCTTGAAATCTCTTTATTTGGCGTATCTTTGACTTACCTTCCATTTATCACCCCTAGCCCAGAACTCCTCAAGTGGAAAGATCAGCTTATTCTCTCAGACTCCTTCTTCAATTTAAATGACAGCCTCTTGTGGGTCACCACTCAAGTTTTCCCCTGTTAAATTTTGGTGAAAATGACTCCAAAAGCCTTTGAGATTGAGTCGTCTGTTTTGAATGGCACCTATGAAACGTGTTAGGACTACAAATCCCAGAGCCCCATTCCACAGCAGTCTCCTCCCTATGGTTCCCGTTTAACCGAACGTAGTATTTGATAAACTCCCAGCAGACGGGAGGTTGTGTTCCGGAAAGAACAGGTAGTGCGGGAGAGACCAGAGGTTGTTAAGAGGTTATGGTGGCAGGGAAGGAATCAGCGTCGGTTCAGTCAGTTTCATGACAGCTTTGTGGAGCAGGGGAGTCAGCTGTGTGCAGTGGGCAGAGTCCGGCTGCTGGGAGTTTCCATTCGGACAGGTGAAGCGAGAATGGAACCGGTACTGAGTCAGGAGGTTATCACCAGCTTTCTGGTGCAAGCTGGAGGCAAAGTCAGGAACTCGGAGCTGCTTCACAACTTCGGGAGTGAGCTGGCGCCGAGCGATCCGGATGGAAAGAGGACAGCCCGGGAGCTCTTCAAAAAGTTCGTCAATAACGTGGCGGTGGTACGAGAAGAGGGAGGCGTCAAGTTTGTGGTGTTGAAGAAGAAATGGCAGCACCTGGTCACCGCCCAGCAGACCCGCTCAGCGGTACCGGGCCCAGGGGAAGGACAGCTCGCCCAGGTGCCAGGCAAGGGGGAGAGTTTGCGGAACTTGGTGGAAGCTGGCCGGGTTACGGAGGTCTCCCAGGGGCCGGGAGCTAGGAGGAACTCAGCCCCTTCGGCACTGACACCCAGTCAGGTTCGAGCCCTGAGCGGCTTGTCAGCTCATGTGCAAAACCAAAAGGATACCCCCACCGAGACTAGCCCCCTGGCTTCAAAACCTGACCCAGTGGTGGGAGAGTGGCAGAGCTGGACTGCATCCCAGGCTATGCACCATGCCAAGAGTCATAGCCTCGAACACATCATGGAGAGTCAACATCTCGTTTCCGAGAGTCGCCCCTTGGCACAAGAAGCTGCTGCTGAGCAGAGCTTATGGAGGGAGGCTGTTTCAACTTCTGAATGTCCCAGCCCTTCTGCAGATCAGGCTAACACTGTGCTTACTTCTCACCCTGCTCCTGAACCTGAGCACCCGCTTCCTCTTTCCCACTCCCCTACTGAGGACAGCACTTTAAGTTTTGAGCAGAAAGTTGGACACTATGAAGCCAAGGCCAATGATATTATCCCACAAGGATCTCCAAAGACAACATTAGCTCAGAATCCAAAACCACATATGCACCCACTTCGCTTGCCTCCAGACTCCACTAGATATGGTAATTGCCACAGCCTCAAACAAGACAAGGAGAAGGAGTCAGAAGATATTGTTCCAACCAAGAATATGTGCCAAGTAGTTTCAGGTGACCAAGATGCCCCCAAAGCACCCAAAATGAAAAGGAATCAGCCAACAGAAATGGGCTGCAGTTCACCTAATTTAAAGAGAACTTCCAGGCTTTTGAAGTTTCCTGAAGATGTTCGTTTCTCTGATCAAGTACCCTTAGATCCAATTGAACATGATTGGATTGTGAAAACAGCCTTGGGCCAATGGACCCAAGTGTCGGGACTGCTGCTGAGAGACAGTTATTTGGCTGAGAAGAAGGATTTCATGTCTGGCTTCACAGCTGTCCATTGGGCTGCGAAATCCGGCAACAGTGAAATGATGTGTTGGATCATTGATACGGCTGAGCAACATGGCATCAAAATGGATGTCAACTCCAAAGCTTATGGTGGTTACACTCCCCTGCACATAGCTGCTATACATGACAAGGAGAATATCATTGTTGACCTGGTACAAAACTATGGAGCAAAAACAACTCTAAGGGACTATAGTGGCAAGCGACCATACCATTACTTAAATAAGAATAATTCCATCAAAGTGAAGCAACTGTTAGGGGACCCAGACAGTTTCATCAGTGAATCCATTCCTTATAAAAGGGGGTCAAAGGTGGCATCTTCCATCCTGAGCAGCACAAATACACTGCTGGGTGCATTAGCTGATGATATAAGCTTCCAGGAGTTTTCTAAATCATTGAAAAAACCGCCTAATTTCAGCAAATTCTTTACAGCTCCAACTGGACACAAGAAAAGAACTAAAATGCGTGCGAGCTTTGCATCACTGAATGAAGAGGAAGAAGAAAAAGAGATTGTTCCGAAACGTCGACCTGTGACTGAAGTGTTTTACTAACTTCTTTCCGTAATTTTTAAAAGGATTACAATGGATCAGTGGGGAACTACTTCTTCTATTGCTGTGTTAATATGTTACGTGATCTTTGGGTGATTTTGTGGGTCAAAATGTAATCTTTTGAACTAACTAGTGTTTAAAAATTATTATTGTGTTGCTGTTTATACTTAGTAGCATCTAATGATAAAGTTGTTTCATTTCTCGAAGGTTTGTTTTATACTCAGTTGTTTATTTGCTCCATATACTGCACGTGTGGGTCACAGGCCAGAATTCTTTTATTGCAGGGAAGTTACAATGAAGCCCTATTGATTTCAGTCAGGCAGGTGCTGCTTTTTCTTAGCTCACTTGTCATTAGGTCAACAGTTTTTCTGGTGGGCAGGGTGTGTCTGGCATTAGCTGTTGTAGAACACTGGTTTGAGTTCATGTTGTGGGCTGATTAAAGGCCATAAATTTGGTTACAACCCAGGGTACTCAACTCCAGTGCAGTTCTTTTATTCCTTTTGGGGATATTTTTCTTGTTTAAATATTAAATTTTTAGCTGCACAACGACTGTCCCAAAAACATTTGCAGTCGCATTAGCATGTCAAAATGCGTCATGGTCAGGCATCTAGAATATTTAAATGATTATGTTCCTGTGAGATACCTGTTATTTAGGACCAAAACAGTAACCAGAGGTCAGTCTTCTCCCTTGTTCCCACTCTCCCCTTCCTAAGACACTGCAACCTACTGCATTTTCTCTGCCTTGAAGGGCTTTGCTGAACTTGAAGTCTCCTACATCTTAAGGGCCTTCAGCTCATTTTACTGTGGTAACATTTTCTTGCTTTACTGTCATTTTAAAATGCTGGTTTGTGACTGTTCCTTAATACGCTCAAATGTGGTATCAAACTCAACCATATTATCGTCGTGATTTGACAATTCTCCCTTACTTGTCAGATTGTTTATTTTTTTTATGGTTGTTTGTTCCTCATTACTAAATCCAGTATGTCCCGGTCCCTTGACAACAAGGTGCAGAGCTGGATGAACACAGCAGGCCAAGCAGCATCATAGGAGCAGAAAGGCTGATGTTTCGGGTCTAGACCCTTCATCAGAAATGGGAGAGGGGAAGGGGGTTCTGAAATAAATAGGGAGAGGGAGGCAAATAGAAGATGGATAGAGGAGAGGATAGGTGGAGAGCAGACAGACAGGTCGAAGAGGCAGGGATGGAGCTAGTAAAGGTGAGTGTAGGTGGGGAGTTAGGGAGGGGATAGGTCAGTCCAGGGAGGACGGACAGGTGAAGGGGGCGGGATGAGGTTAGTAGGTAGGAGATGGGGGTGCGGCTTGAGGTGGGAGGAGGGGATAGGTGGGAGGAAGAACAGGTTAGGGAGGCGGGGACAAGCTGGACTGGTTTTGGGATGCGGTAGGGGGAGGGGAGATTTTGAAGCTTGTGAAATCCACATTGATGCCATTGGGCTGCAGGGTTCCCAAGCGGAATATGAGTTGCTGTTCCTGCAACCTTCGGGTGGCATCGTTGTGGCACTGCAGGAGGCCCAGGATGGACATGTCGTCTGAGGAATGGGAGTGGGAGTTGAAATGGTTCGCGACTGGGAGGTGCAATTGTTTATTGCGAACCGAGCGTAGGTGTTCTGCAAAGCGGTCCCCAAGCCTCCGCTTGGTTTCCCCGATGTAGAGGAGGCCACAACGGGTACAGTGGATGCAATATACCACATTGGCAGATGCGCAGGTGAACATCTGCTTGATGTGGAAAGTCTTCTTGGGGCCTGGGATGGGGGTGAGGGAGGAGGTATGAGGGCAGGTGTAGCACTTCCTGCGGTTGCAGGGAAAAGTGCCGGGTGTGGTGGGGCTGGAGGGGAGTGTGGAGCGGACAAGGGAGTCACGGAGAGAGTGGTCCCTCCAGAAAGCAGATAAGGGTGGGGAGGGAAAGATGTCTTTGGTGGTGGGGTCGGATTGCAGATGGCGGAAGTGTTGGAGGATGATGCGTTGGATCTGGAGGTTGGTGGGGTGGTACGTGAGGACGAGGGGGATTCTTTCCCGCTCCCTTGTCATTTACAAGATTTCTAGAAATTGAAGAAAAACTAAAGGACAGATTTCAGAAGCTTTGTTCAAATAAAGTTTATTTGTATTTTCTTTAACTGTATGGATTTCATGTGTGGACGAGAGCTATAGAGAGACATCTTCATTATTTATTAGGTACCTCCTTCAACACACATTGAGAAAAGTGGCATTGTCCTTGTATATTACTTTTTTTGTTGTTGAACATTGTTTGAGTAGAACCTAACCAATGTACTTTGGTAGGTTTCTAACCAAAAATTACAGCTCCATGTTTTTTTTTAATTTCCAGCATCTGCAGTTCTTTTGGCTTTTTGATTTTATGTTACTTCAGAAAGCATGTGAAGCTGAGACACAGAACAGCAATGGTAACAAAGCAAAGCGTAGACATACTGTAATTGTAAAAAATGTGAGGTCATTAAATCAATATTTTTAACATCCAGTTAGTGGGGAGATACTTCTGCTGTTGATATGCAGTGAAGCTTGAACTTACATAACTAAAAACAAGAGAAAATTCTGAGGGCTCCATCCTTTGTTGTTCTAGCCACTGAACCTTCATATTGAAATAATCACTCATGACATTGTACTTAAAGTTAAGCTGAAGTAGTCCTTAGTTGAAGTAGGGTAATTGTACAAGCATGTGTAAATACAATTAATTCCCATTTGAAGTCATGAATCCCCATTGGAAGTATTTAACCAAAAGCTATTCAGCAGAAAGTTTTTCAAGTTCGTGGAGTGTATTCCATCAATACAGTTGACTTGTGCAGACGCATCCTAGAAAATTAAGTTCAACCAAATTAATAAACAACGTAACGATGATTTGACTCAACCAAATTACAGCTCTAGGCAAATTATATAAACCATATTCAGGGTTTCAAGTCAAAACCAATGAAGAAATGAAAGGAAGGAAGTGCAATTTAATGGCTAAATTTCAATGTACTTACACAAAAATTTGTATAAGTTATTGAAGTTTTTGGTTAAACTGTCATCTTTAAAATTAAAAATGGAAAATTTTGGAATTGCTTCAGCAACTTGTGGGAATCGAGTAGTCAAATTGTGCAAGCACAGCACAATGTACTATGATAAAATAATAGACATCAGGCAGCACACAGCATGACTGTTTTACAATTGAAAAGCTCTATCACAGGCATGATCCAGAAGGAGGTGATGCACATGGTGCTTACCAATGGGACCTGTACTTTCAGGAGGGCCCTGGACTTGGGCAATACTGCTGTCTTCTGTGAAAGGTCAGAATGAAGTCAACCCCAAACATGAAAGACTTGGAATCTGTGAGGAACTGCTGCTCCAGAGATTCTATCTCTCATGTTCCCTCAATCACAGGCTGTTTCTCTCCTGTGTGTGCTCCTAATTGTGCAGTTTGAAAGGTAAAGACCACAGTGAGCAAGTTGCTGTCATCCAGCCTGAGTGTTGCAAATTGTGAAGCATGGGTGTGAGCATTGGCATTGCTGTGTGCCAGCTGCACAGACTGCTACCTGCTAGGGCGGGAGGAAGAAGGAAGAGTCCACAAGTGTAAGGAACTGGGGTGAGGAGAGAGGAGTCTGCATGGGATGGGTGGGTGGAAAGGAGAAGGTTTCAAGTGGGGGTGAATGAGAAGGCTGCATGAGGTGTTGGGGGAGGGAAGGAGGACAAGCCTGCAAGAGGTGGGTGGAGGCAGGTCGAGGCTGCAAGGAAAAAGGAGGAGGAAAGCGACCAGAAGGAGAGAGAAAAAAATTAGACTTGTTAGCAATGAAATAACTATTTGGGAGCCAGGAAAGCTTAAAATCACTGATGTAATGAATTCCTTTAAAATTAATGTGGAGTCTCTGGCTTAGACCTGCTTAAGATCAGGACCTACTATTTGGTGAAAAGTATAGTGGTTCTTGGTGTAATGAACACTATCAAGTTTAAAGTTGTGATTGAGATCTGAGATGTATTAATTAGAGTAATAACTGTCTGGTTGAAATCTTCCAACTTGTGCAACTGCATTGGAAGCATATCAGCTGTGATTTCTCCGATCAAATGAACATGGGTTTAGGGTAGAAGTGTCTGTCAGATATTTTAAAAAAAACAATACTATCGTGTCTAGGAAATTGATGCTTCCTGTGTTTAACTTTAAGTTTAATGGAGTGCTGCTGATTGAGATTATTGATGAATTCTTCTAATTCTGCTTCTTTTTGAATCAAAATATGTCAGCTGAGGTAGAGTAGGTTTTCTTACTTCATGGCTACATCATCTAATAAATGAGTTACTGAGAGTGAAAAAGAAGCCCCTGAAAAAGCAAGAAGTGACTCCTGAAAAATAGAAAGTAGCCCTCAGAAAAATCTCAAGAAAACTTCCAGGGAAACATTAGTCTGATATCGGGCCAAGTTCAAAGGAGTGCAGCTGGTAATGTAACAAGAATGACCAAAACATGTACAATTGTATAACAAAACTGTGCTTGTGAAATATATCATATTGAAATTTGAGCTTTATAAATAGAAGCATAGAGTACAGAAGCAACCAAGTTTTGTTGAAACCATAAAAAAAGTTCAAACTTACTATGACCATAGTTTCCAATTCTTGCCAAAAGTATATGAAGTTTTCACATAGGGTTCGGAAGAGACATTCTAGAAGGCCTTCAGCGAGGTGGAGTTACTGAGGTTGCTATCCCAGGAGCAAAGAAGCCTGAGGGCATTTGACGGGTGTATAAATAGTGAAGGGGTTTGATGCAATAAATAGAAACTGTTGCCAATGGCTGAGGGATCAATAATCAAATTGTCCAGTCTTGACTTCATTTAAATTGGTTGGTAAAAAGAACCAAAGGTGTCAAAAGGAAAATCTTTTGCACAAACAGTGGTTAGGATTAAGAATGCACCCCTTTCCTTACATTGAGGTGGGTGCAGATCCAGATTAGTGTCCTAAAGGAAATTGGATACAGAGAGAAAGAAACAAGGGGAAATAAAACAGGTTGGTTGGGACAGTGTTAGGACTGACTATATTTCTCCAGGAACTGGTGCAGACATCTTGGACTGAATGGCCTCCTTCTGTGCTTTACAATTCTATTCCACTGGACCCAAAACACAACACAAATGTGCACATCAGAAACATCAAATATTGTAAGGCAGTGGTAGTGGGGTTATTGGGGGAGAAAGGGGACTTGGAAACAGAAGAAGAAACAGGG